GAGTCCTTAAAATAATCAACACGTCATACGAATCCATGAAACCCAACTTCCTCACTAAAAGTTAATTTTTATTAACATTAACCCGACTTGTGGAATTCAATTTCTTTTCAACATCAACTCATCTAGTGACGAATTCAACCAAGACGAGATTCAGAAGCCAACTCACTCAATATCTTAACAACATAAAGGAAATTGTAACTATATCAGTCGAAGCGAAACAGCTCTACAGTAAGACAAGCAATCTATTTCATTCAATTTCACCATCAACATAAACTGTTTAATTTCTTACCAGATCTATAGCATAACACCTTTTATATTACCCTAGATCTCACAACCAAGAAATCTAAAGAACAACTTTATTATATCGTGTTTACCTGTTGTTATATAAAAATATTTTTTGTTAAAACAAATACCTGCCTATTTGATTATTTCTCATGTTGTTGTTGTCTTTGATTTAGTAAAAATAGCATAGGGTCAGTTTATTTTGTATTTTTTTTTTAAGCGGGAAGCCACTAGGACGCAAATGGTTACAGAAAATTTGGAGCAAGATCAGATAGGAGTGATAGAAGAAAGGATGAGAAGAAGGGTAGTGGATAGATCAAGGCAACTGGAGATGTCAATTGACATTACATTTGAATAGCTGGAGATTATAGCTCTCAGGAAACTGGAATAGGGAAGGAGTTCCACAGGCGAGAGGTACGAGACATGAAGCTATTGGAGTAGAAGAGACGGCTACATTTAGGAGTTTCGACAGTGAAGGGGTGAGAGCGGGATGCCAGCCTCGTAGGGCGCTTGGACTCATGAAGTCTGGGAACCAGCGAATGCAGCTCCTCGGAGCAATTGCCATGAAAGTATTTGCAAAACAGACAGAGAGAGGTGACGGCGCGTCTGCGAGAAAGTGACTGTAGACGAGATGCCAGATCAGGGACAATTATATTGCATATTCGCCTTTGTTCCATCTCAGGTCAGACCGAGCAGCCGCAGAGAGTTGCTCTTGAGAAGTTGAGCATCAGACATTCTAATGGAGGGTAGGGAAGGATCTCTGTGGTGATTAATAGAGAGTAGTTTAGTTTTTGAGGCGTTAAAGTTGACCAGCCAATTCTTGCCCCAATTAACAACCGATTGGAGGTCCATTTCAAGATGCAAGGCCAGGTTAGTTTTGTCAGTGACACTAGATTTGTTTTTGAGGCAGGAGTAAATTGTGGTGCCATCCGCGTAGATGCCAACTTGGGAATTTATGGCATCAGGAAGGTCATTTATGTAGATAAGGGATAGAGTGGGGCCTAGGATGAAGCCTTGAGGAACACCTGTGTTTGTGTGATAGGAACTGGAGGAGAATCCGTTGAGAACGACCTTCAATACATAGTTTGGCAGGAATGATTGTATTAGGTCAAACCATCGACCCGTAATGCCATAACCCTGGAGCTTGTGAAGAAGGCTGGCATGCCAAACCCTATCAAATGCTTTGGAGATGCCTAGGGCCATGGCACAAGCTTCCCCGTTATTTTGAAGAGCTGTGATAGCCGTAAGCACATCAGCTGTAGATCGGGCAAAGCGGAAGCCATATTGCTTGTCTGAGAGCAGATCATGGGATGTGAGGTGGTTAACCACCTCGCTATTGATTAGGGCTTCGAAGACTCTTTGAATATTGTATATTTTAAGAGACATAAAATTTTATCAGTACATAAAAAAATATATCTTTGTACTAATTATCTTTGCAATTTGCATTCAGGCCAAAAATTAGTGTATATTGGGATTAAGGATTTTATCCAAAGATAACCACCTGTAAATCCACATAAACCCCACAGATCTTTTTACCATAAGGGAAATTATATATTACAGTGCAACTGACATTTTGAAATTTGATGTGCCCATGTTTAGAAAAGGGATAAATCAAAACTGTCCTTATGTAAGTTGATTTTCTCAAACAATTTTGCTAATATATTCTTGATTGTTAAAACAAGTGTTGTTAAATTGCATTTTCGGGAAATTGTTTAAAATTGTAAAGATGACTACTGTTTTGTCAGGTGACATTTTTATAAGGGGTGCTTGAAGCCAACATGAATGTGATTTTTGAATATGTCTTTCATTCATAAAATTTATGACATGAAAAAATATAAAATTACATATATTAAAGTCATCAAAAAAACAAGTGCATTGAAAGAAGCTATATTACACTCACTAAACAGTTAGTGTATTGACAAATAAAAGTATAAATTATTGTTTAATCATGCTCTCCAGGTTTAAACCTGAAGGCAAGTGTTTCAAACATACTAAGGATATTTAGAATATACATCTTAAACTTTGACAAGTAAAGAAAACAATTATTAACAACAAATTTAAAAACAACACTCCCATATTTATGTAGGAAAAACAACTAATCAGTTTTTATGACAATCCCATAGTGAAAAAAATCCTTTTTCATTGGTAAGTTTTTTTCAGTAGTAACTTTGTTCTAAATATTCTCAAAATTGGTTATTTAGTAATTTCTGAGCAAGTTTTATTGTATCTTTTTGTTTCTATGAAAATTCAGCAGGACTTTTTTCAACATTCACTTTCCACAATCTAAGGAAATTATTTACACTTACAAAACCCTTAAAATATGATGCTAATTAATATTATAAGGATAATTTGTTTGCAAAGGAAAGAAAGAAACAAAGACTAAGATTTCAACAATGTGTATTTTGTCAAAATTCAGAATATGTACATAGTTGTGTAAAAGGTGGCAAAATTGATCATATGTGGTTCCTTAGTTGCCATTGATAAAGAATGGGTTAGGTGTAAGTTAGGTGTAAGGGTGTTGTTGATAGGGCCAGGAGTTGACCAGTTTATTTGGCTGGTTGGTTGGCTGAGGTCACAGTTGGTATCAGAAGAGAGGCCTAGAGTGGATTAGTGAAGCCAAGTGGGTGTTGTTGATGGGGTTTGACATATCTCTTTGTTCAGGGTTGAAATCAACACCAGTAAGGTGTTGTCTAGCAGTTGTGTGACAAGGCCAAAGTGTTGAAGCCAAACTGCCTGTTGCCAGCAAGTAGTGTTGTTTTTATATTTTTGGTTCAACAGTTGCAGGCTCCCAGAGATATCCTATTTTTTTTGCATGCAGGAATGTTTGTGATTGGGTATTGCATTTTTTAATTTTTGTAAGGATTTCTTTGTGGACCAGATGTAATGCTTGGACCCCTGTGTGGAAGACAACTTTTTTTATTTTGTGTTTTGCTTTCTTTGCACTCACATCCGGCCATCATGCCTGGTGAATCAGATCTTGATTAGCATAACATTATGAAACAGTTGATTCTTTTTATCAAAATAAAAAAAAAATATTCCCAACTTATTGAGAGTTTTTTGAATTGTAGAACTTGAAAGTTTTAGGTATTAAAGTAATATAGACAATAGATTATAATGTCTTTTCTGGTACATTTAATATAATCTAAACATAACAAAATTTAGCACAGGCAAATGTAGGTATCTTGTTTGTATAAACCAATATATTATGACATGATAGGTTACTCACACAACTAATATAGAATGCATACAAAATCAAATGGCCATTAAACAATTTTATTTACTTCTGAAGTGTGTTGTTTTTCTAACCAGCAGATTATAAAATAAGATCTTAATAGCTGGCACTCATTTGGCCAAAAGGGATTGAAATAATAGATCAATAGACAAAATCTTTCAAGATCAAGTGATATTTGTTTCAAAGATACAAATTTCCACTCGTAGACTTAATATACAGTCATAGTTAGAATTGTTCATCAAGAGATGTAGAGATGAGCAAAGGGATGGTCAGAAAGAATCAGCATTCTCATTGATTCAAGGGAAAAACCAATCTGTAGTCTGTCATGACAGTAGCTGAAGATGTCCCAAGTGTCACCTACCTCCCCACCAAGGTCATGCAAGTGAAGCTCTGAATAAACAACAAAATATATTGGAAATAGGATTAGTGATTTTCATTTCACACAATGTTGGGTTATTTGCCTGGTGGATGAAAAGCTGAGAGAAGGGCCCACTATAGGTTTACAAAATAATGAAAAATGACAAAAAGATAAATTAATAAAAAATATATTTATTTCTACATAATTAATTTGAACTTACAATGAACCAGTGTACAAAATAAAAAATTGTAATGTCACAAAATGCTATATAATATTTCAAGTACAGCAGTAATTTCTGTCAAGTTATTTTAATGTATATTATTATTATTTTAATATTATATTTTTAATATATTTAAGTTACTTCAAATTTGATTATGAAATAATTAATTTTATCAATTTATTTAGCAAGTATGTTCCTTGTCATTTCAAAGAAACATGATTTTTTTTGCCATCCATATCAATTGATCAGGAAATTAATCGTTGATTTGACTTGTTTGAATCTACAAAGCCCATATTTTCAACATGGAATCACATAACTTTCCTTTCTACTGATAATCTTCTTTACAGAAGAGTTGATGTATTTCACATGCAGTACTTGTTTATCCTCCTTTGAAACAGTTTCAATTTATGAGAAATGACATCATTCACCCATAAAACAAATGCCTGCTTCAGTGCTGATCACAACAAATGCTGAAATGCTTTGGTCATCTAATAAGAAAGAAATTTAGTTATCCAGCAAAAGGCATCTTTAATCTGAACCTGAATAAGCTTGTGTGGATACATTCCAAAGGCTGACCAAGACAGTGTTGGCTGAAGCACATTAACCAGAAATTGGGCCATATTAGCATGTAACTTTACCAGACCAAGCAACAAGCAATAAATAAAGTCCAGTGGAGAAAGGTCTGTCAAGTTTGGAGCCTCAGCAGGTGGGGATGTCATTGTTGTAGTTGCCATCATCATAATGATAATTACTTTGATCAGTTCATAGTTGTTTATAGACCTTTAATAATTGAGAGAGAACATATTTGAAATTAGATCAAAACCATAGAATCTTGTTAGTATTTAATAAAAAGTTAATTCATATACACCTATGAAAGCTGAAGGGCACAAAATATCTGCAGAGTAAAATTACAACTTGTTTTGAAGAATTTGGGGAATAGGTCCATCCCATTTTTCACCTGTAATTAAAAATAAAAATAAAAGCATATTTAAACCATAATTTTATTTTAAAATATATGGAGTATTTTTTTTACCTCCAAATATGATACAAGAGAAGATTTCTGGAAAAAAACAAACTTTTCTTAATATTTTTTAAATTTAAAAAAACAATTCATTATATAATTTACAAATTTTAATTTTCTGAAGTCATCCCAGTTAAAAGCAATGTGGAGATACAGAAGGTGCTTATCTCCGTTAATGATGAAAGCTGCAATCAAATTCAGTTCATTTTACAGCAGCCAAAGCAAAAGATTGCTTTCTTTAGCCCCAATTATGGCTTTGGGTAGAGGTTAAATCCATCTCCCCAGCAGTTTTCAAGTCCATGGTGCCATTTCCCTTTGGGAATATATCTTTCCCACATATAGAATGAAACTCCAGATTGCAGTCCTCCATTTTGGGAAAACTCAAAGCTTGCTGTTTCCCGTTTGCGGAATATATCTTTGCCTGTGACACAGATGAATCTGTCACTTTACATTTTATAAAGAATTGCTGAAAATTACCAATTATCATTGATAATTTCTTGTATCATAAATACCAAATTGTATTGACTATAATTCTTAGTTTCCTCATGACCAACAATAACCAGAAACAGGGCTATTGCATAAGGATTCATGACATTAAAGTCATATCAATGGTAACAATCAAAATCTATATTTTCTACTTTCATTTTCAAAATTATTACTTACTCTTCCATTTTGTTCTTCTTGTAGTTTCTATTTCCTTTCACAAGTGTTATACTTGAATAAGAATACTTTATGTTATACTTGAATAAGAAGACTTTATGTTATACTTGAATAAGAAGACTTTATGTCTATAAAATATGGTAATATGCTATAAAATCCTAAAAATGCTAATATTCAAATTGGCAAATATTAAATCATCATCAATTATTTTTTCTACTTAAAAAAAAAAAAAAAACTGATAATTGTTCATATTTATGAACAATGAAGAGAAAGTTTCATAAGATAGTTCACATGCTAACCATACTCACTTTATAAATATGAACCCTTAATTACTACTTACCTAAAATCTTTGCAAGAATGGGAAATCGATCACAACCAAAAATCATTTCTTGCTTTCCATTTACATGAGCCACAATAGTTGGGACTCCAAAAGCCTAAAAAATGGAGAAAAATAATTAATGGTCAGTAAAAAATAATGAGGAATTTAAATGTATTCATTTTGTATAAATCCTTTGGTACATAGAAATCATATACAGCTGAAGAAACACAAAACTTGACTGCAACTGGTACATGCATTTAAAAAAAGTGCAGACAGACATATTCCATATTCATTTATATTTTTGTAAGGCTATAGAAGTCAATGATTTCCCTTTAAGTCACATAGGTCATGTGATGGCTGTTTATTGACATTACTTCATACAGTAACAAAAGTGACCATTCATTCAGTCAGTAAGCTTATTGGTGTCAAGACACACATATTTGTTTGTTCTGCCTGGGCTTTTGCCCAGGTCAGCCAGCTGCCAAATTCTACAGCTTACAAATCCATGGTGCCATTTCCTCTTGGGAATACATCTTTCTCAGATAAAAGAAGAAACTCTGGCTCACAGTTTTCAATTTGGGAAAACCCAGACTCGCCATTTCCACTTTGTGGAATATGTTCTCACCTGAAACATAGTAGATGAATCCAGCCTGTTTGAATCTGAAATCCCAAACATGACTTCTCCAGAAACAGAAGAATTTCCATATTATATATAAGACCCATACTTTTTGTTTCTCTTTACACTCTGCTTTCCATGTAGACATATGTGATACATTATTTTGCATGTGGGACATGTGTATATATGTATATATAGTTTTGCATATGTCTTAGTGGTATAAAAGTCTCTCTGAGAACAAAGAATGTTTGTCATTCCTTTTCCTTTCAGCCATTCCATTCCATCTATGAAGTATGTTGTTATTATATCCATGGGTATAATAATGTTCATAATGGGGTAAATAAAAATGGAAGGAAAAAAAAACCTTTCTTCCCTAGCATGCTAGTGTTATATGTTGAGAAACCTACTTTTATTTTTTTATATATTCGTATTTTGTTTATGCTTTTCTAATCAATTAATTTAATGACATCTTCAAAATATATATTTATTCTATTGTCAAAACCATCGCCATTATTTTGATAGTTATTCTTTTTGTGGAGTGAGTAACCATGGTCAAAAGCAAAATAAATAACAGAACTGTTCAACAAATGGAATTGACAAAGTTTGTAATAAGCAATAAAAGAAAAAGAAAAGAACCAGGCAAAAACTAATATAAAGCAAGCAAACCATATATGCAAAACAAATTAACGGTAATAAGGCAAAGCAACAGTAATATGGCAAAAAATTCACAAACTAAGAATGGGGTTAACACACAAAAGCATGTTTGAACAAGCAAAGGTAGTGTTATGACTTCAAGGCAAGACTGACCTGGGTTGAGTCAGATGAAACCAAGAACTGGCCTATTTTATTGACTAGGTAACAATCCCTGCATGCATTTATGTCTTTCTATCTATATAATCAGGAGGGGCAAGTGCTTTGCAGTTATTCCCACTACAGATTGGAATCAACACTTTATGATTATCATTACTAATACAGAAAGCATATTTAAATGTTCTGGAGATTTTTTATAAAAGCATAATTACCCCCTTTTCCAATGCGTCTTCAGTGTAATCAGCTAGTCTTTTCTTAACGGCATCATCTGTAATTTGGGAAATGGCCTTTTTTAATATCTCGGGTTTCATTCCTGCCTGCTTTCCAACCTGTGATAAGAAAAGTTACAATTCTGATTATACAAAAATTGAACAGAAAAGGAAATAAGGAAAGCACTAAGTTTTCTACAAAATATTAAACAAATTGCAGGATAGTTTTCTTTTTATTTAGATAAACAGTAGATTAAAATATGTGGTGTGCAAAAAAGTTTGACTTTTCAAAATCAGTATTTTAATAATAAAACATCAGAATACTGATTTTGGGAAAAGGGTCAAGCTTATATTACATATGATGAAGGTTGCTTGTTTGTTAATGCCAGAATTTTAAAATATTAAATGCTAAAAATTATAACTTAATGTTATTAAAAAAGATTTTCAGTTGTTTTTATCAAAAACATTTTATAGTTTCTAACACAATTATTTTATCATTAAACTGAGAACACATACAAAACTAGCACCCTTTAAAAGCCTCTAAAAAATTAATAAACAGTAGTTATTTACACTATTTACATTGGTCAGACTGTTGTCCTCATCCTTATCTGTCTATATTTCTGAGATGAGGTATTATTGTTTGGACTGTTGTCATGCTCATGACATTTTGGCTGTTGTATGCTTCAGCCTTCTTCAGGTGAATGGAATTTTGATTTGAATCATTTCATCCACCGGGGGTAGATTTTTCTATGTGCCATGCCTCTTTCAGATATCTAATTCAACTCTCCAAGTTTTTTGTTCACCACTGCTGTAGTCAGTGTGTATGCCATCCCATGCAGCTGTGGTAAGAAATATAAAGGAGAAACAGGCCGCCCTCTTATGGTAAGACTGCAAGAACATTGTAAAGCTGTAACATGAGGAGAAATAGAAAAACCAGGAGTATCTCCCTTTTCCCTACACATATGAAGGAAAAAGGGATATCACCGCCCCCTGTGGGATGAGGTTGAAATAATAGACAGAGAATGTCACTGGAAAATACAAAAACTTAAGGAATCAGCACATATGCTTGGCCACAAAAATCTCCTAAGCCGACCAAGCATAGAAATGAATACAATATGAGAACCAGTAATACAGACTGCTAGAGAAAAGCAATAAGAAAACTGCAATATGAGCTCTGGTAAAAAAATCTTATGAGACGTTAGGTCCCAAAAATTCAAGCACTGATGTCCTCAAGAACACATGGCCCAGTGAATAAAAGTGTTGGCAGGATCCAGTGACTTGAGAAAGTGACGAACAAAAACTTGGCGAATTGAGTTAAAGGGAGATAACAGACATCCAGAAGAGGTATGATACATGGAACTATAACAATTTACCTCAGTGGATGGAATAAAGGCTCCAGTTCTAAATTCCAATCACCTGAAGAAGGCTGGAGTGTACAATATCCGAAACATTGTGAATATAGTAACAAAGATGAGGACAACTGTCTGACAAATGTAAATAATGTAAATAATTACAATACCTCATCTCAAAAATATAGACAAACAGTACTTAATCTAAATAAGTAAAAATAATTGAGGTTAGTTGGTGTTGATACGATTTTCTTCACTGGAAACTTTGAACATAAAACTGACTTAAGGCTTTAAAATATATTCTTAATTATATATATTCTTATTTTCTTTAGTGAGTGAGTCCCTTGGTATTTGGTGTAATAAAAAGTTTGTTAATAAGGTGGATATTGCTAGCAGTCTGGAGAAATATCTGTTAGTGGTAGGTTGAAGTCAGACCATGATAGGGATAGTAGTAATCTTAGAAATAGGTGAGTGTCGATCTACTGTGTTTTTCTCAGTCCTAATCAAGGCAGAAATATCATTAACAGATGAGCTCTTACCTACTTTTTCACACAACATACATGGATGGTTTCTATGTGGTAGCATCTTCGTTCATCCTCTCACCATGTCTTCTGCTGTCCCCATTCTGGTTCTGGCTCAGGGGTGTCAACTTTTGATCAAACTCCGAGTTTTTGGTGGGAACTTTGGTTTCAGCTAATATCAAAAGTCTCTTTATATCAATTTCTTTGATTGGCCCAAATTATTTTATTTTCCGGTGTTCCTTTCTTTTTCATTTTTTTAATAACGGAAGTCACAAATAAGTAAGCTCTTATCCTGCAAACTTCCAGTATTTTTCATGCAGGTTCAGTGTTTCCTTCTTCTACCTCTTTTTATTTGAGTGTTGCCATTTTGTTATTTGAGAGAAGTTTATTGAGAAAGAAAGATATTGACTTTAAGTGCACTTGTCTTAATTTAATTTTTTTTTTATTTTTGTTTATATATTTTGTTTTTATATCAGGACTCACTACATAATATATGGCTAAACATTCAAATTTCCTATTTTAACTTGTAAAATGTATTATAGTGAAATTATGCACACACACAGACACAAACATATATATATATATATATATATATATATATATATAAAATATAAATAAAGAGAGAGAGAAAAATATGTAATGTTATCCTTTCATACAGACTAATGAAAACAAGAGACTCAATCTTTCATTCATAACAGTTTATTTTACCCTGGACTTTATCAATCCCTTATTTACATTTGGACTAATGTCCTCATCTTTGTTGCTGTTAACACAGTATTTTAGCCATTGTGCCCTTCAGCTTTCATCAGGTGTATATCAATCTACATGGAATTATGAAACAAATCCTTTAAAGAAGAGTAAAATAGACAAACATGCTTTTAAGCTTATTTTGCCAAACTTGGTAAAATAGAACCCCAGGTGGTTATTTTGCCAGTATATATTTTTAGTATTGTGAAGGCAGATAATGTTAAAAATAACAACACACAAAATTAACACAGAAGTTTATTTATTTTCAGCCATCAATTGTTAAGACAATATAAAATAAAAAATCATTTATTCATCATCAATTATTAAAAGAAATATAGAAGTCTCTGAGTATTTTAAACACTTCAGGCATAACAGTCTCTGCAAATTCAAAACTTGGCCTTGGTCATGGTTTTCTTGCCAATACATTTCAGGTGCACCCACTGAAGACAACAGTCACAGACCACAGAATCCATGTTGTTCTTCAAGTCATGCCTACACAGCTCACATAACCATTGCACTGATGGTCTCAAATACAATATATTTGTAGTTCTAAAATACTATTTATATTTACTGGCAAAATAGCCTTGGTGTCTATTTTAACAGGACCAGTAAAATAGCCTATTTATTTATTTAATCTACAGGGGTAAACCATTCTCGTATCACTGCCTATGTCTAAAAATACATCATCTAGTTTGTCTAGTTCATATTTTTGATACTGTTCAGTTATTGTTTGCCCTGTTTCCAAGTACACATATGGTGGAAACAGAGCGAGCAATAACTGAACAGTACCAAAAGTAAGAACTAGACATGATCCAGTCATGGTACTATTCTGTGATAATAATCCATTGTTTTATATAACAGAATTACCTTATCCAGTGATGAAACTTTTAAAAAGTTTTGCCATACTTTCAAGAAAAATAACAAAATTGATTGCCTCTATACATATCTTGCAGTTATTCACTATTTAATACTCAAAATTCTTTCTCAAAATATGATGTTATCAATGGTTTTAAGAAGTACCATAATACAAGGTATACCAGTTATTACCTAAAATATAAAACAGTTGTTTGTGTGATTTTGAAATATTAAAAGAATATACGAACAGGAAGAAAATACTTTTAGGTGCTTAATACAAAGAAGTGTCTTAATAATAGGAAGGGATGGATTTTTTTTCTCAATAAGCAATAAACAAGCAGGTCCTGATACAAGTGGGGTTGGAAAATCATTAAAATAGTCAATAATTTGGAATTTAAGTAATAAAACATTTTTTCAGAACCACTACTGTAACACCCAAGCTGGTCCCCACAACTTCCTTCTCTAAGGTAGTAGCATGCAAAGAAGCTTTGGCTCAACTTAATTATTATGCAAAAATGCCCACACAAATTAAATATCGACTCACATAAATAAATTCATGCAACATCATCTTATCAGAAAGTGTAAGAAATTCTAGGGACATGGTTCCTGTCAAACCTAAAAAATAAAACAATTTGGAATGTCTTCATCCTATTTACTTCCTGTTTCACCTGTATCATGTTTAAAAACATAACATTAAGTTTATCAAAGAATGGAACCTGGTAATTCTGGAAAGAATAAAAAAAAGAACAATGGAACACTATTTCTTAAACAATGCATTGGAATAAGTAAGTTCTATTACTAACAGCTTCTTCTCTCACACTTCTCGCTTCTCTTTTCCAACAACTTGCTTTAAAGTCAACTTTGGTGTTTAAGAATTTAAATGCAATGTCAATCATTATCTTCTGTCTTCTTAATTCTTGTTCTTTTATTATTCTCTTGTTTAATTATTTTTTTTCTCATATTCTGTAACACTCAGTAACATCTTGCATCTTAGTGGCTTTATTGCTGTGATTGGGGTAAATGATAAAAAAAAACAGAATTTTTCAACATGCATCATATCATAAAAGTGTAAAGATAAAATCTTGAACTAACTACAATAATTGTTGTTTCTTTTTGTAAAACTGGCGGGTGCAAAATTAATAAACTGGAAGGTGGGGTAGTGTCTTAATAAACCTGTTGGATGTTGGAAAATCTCCTCAAAAAAAAACAAATGCTCCCCCTTCTATTAAGCACCTAAGAGTAAGTATTTATTGTGATTTTAATACTTACCATCACAAAATTCTCAGGTTCTGTTATATCTTCATCCTTTTAGAAAAATGTTTTTAAAAATCAGTTATTCTTGTACATAAATACACTATATTAATTGTGAACTATTTCAATAAATACTAGTGTTAATAAATTACACAGAAAATTTTCATTTTTGACTAAAAACACATTTTAGAAAAAAGATGAAGTCAATGCATTCTCTCAATATGACAACTATTCATATTATATAAAGAATTAATATTCCAAATTCAGCACAGGTTCTTTTACTTTTAAAAAAACTTTTCACTTTTGGGAATGCAAAACAATGCCAAAATATGTTTATATTAATAATTTAATGGTTATGAAGAGTATTTGTTAATATTTCATATTATGGGAGTCAAGTAATAGTATTTTATTAATGTAAACTGATATACATTACGATGTATCCTAGTCCATAAAATTCGGCTAACATTCTCTGTGAAACTTGAATCTATCATGTCAACAGCAGTGATAAAACGCTGAGCTTTCAGAGTTCCTTTGTCAAACATTACACCAAATATATCCTGGAGAAAAAGAAATTGTGTTTGCATGACAAATGATATATAAACTAACAGATACAGCTGAAGACAAGAAATTAATGGTTTAATATGCTTAATCTATAAAAAAAATTATTATTCATGATTCAAGCTTACTGTACAATATTTAAACAGTGTAGTACTTGGAAAATTAAGAGTTTCATATTATAAAAATGATGTTTGTAATATATAATTTGAATAATGCTATAAGATTTTTGTTAACTGTAGACTGTATTTGTGCAAAAAATCAAATTCAGTTCCTGTCTGAATCTATAATTCAATTAATAGAAATCAGATTCAAGTTTTAGGAATTTCTCATTCTTAATAGTCTTAATAGACAGAGCACATCTTTTAATATTCTGTTACCATAATTAATAAGAAGTTATAGTTTCAAAACAATAATTTCTTCTTGAACTCTTCTATCTTCCTGCTGATTCTGCCTTAACTCCTTTTAATCAAGCATTTTATATTTTCTTAGGGTTGATTATCCCATGTAAAGATAGAATGGGTTAATAAAAGTACAGCAGTTCATTTTATTAGATTAAAAAGAAAAGAAAAGGACTTGCAAGCAAAGAATTCCTTTAAATACTAAAATAAAGGTGATAACAGAAGTAATATAAAATGGCTTGCATATTGACATATCAATGAATGAATAAAAAATAAATATACTCACTGAAGGTAATTTAAAATCCACTTTCATATATTCACTCATTCTTTCTACATCTTTTGGCAGGTATATTGCTTTATTGGTACATACCATAACTGGTGGTTTATTACCTTAAAATATTTCATAGAAATTATAAAAATGTTTATATTATGGTCTTATTTTCTGAATATAGTTCAATAGGAACTATTTTGTATTTCCAAAAAATATCCTGAAATAAGTCTGCATCAGTCTTTCTTTGTAATTAATTACAAGGCTTATTTCAATAAAAAATAGTAGAATCTAATTAATTTTAGGTATCTTACATAAAAAGTCAAGATAAATGAGTCACTTACAACAGTGAAAATCAATATAAGTATTAGTAAATTAAAGACTAAACAACATAAAAACCAATTTCTTGAAAGTGTAAATGCTTGCTTGGAAATGTAAACTAACATAACATGATACCAGGCAAGAGGTTAACAAGTGTAATCAAAAAGATAGAATTTCAAGTATAATAATAACACTTGGGTTTAACTAGAGAGATTGTATATATTTAAAAGGATTTTGTGGGGAGAGGAGGCAGAGGAAAAGAGAGAACATCAAATCTCTTATCCTGAGTATTATGAAAAACACAAGACTTTACTTTGGTGTGAAATTTGAAAGAAATTTACATTTATTAAATAGCATAAAAATTAATAATAGCACAGAATACAAAATTTGTAGAATAAACTTGCATAACAAGTTCTAAATTATAATTATGGGTTTATAAAACAATTATAATTATTGTCAACAAAATGTTCACTTTGATTCATTAAACTGTCAAAAAGAGTTGAGAACAGTATTTACATTAGTCGGACTATTGTCCTCATCTTTGTCGCCATATGGCGACAAAGATGAGGACAATAATCCGACTAATGTAAATACTGTACATAATACCTCATCTCAGAAATATAGACAGACTCTGAAGAGTTGAGAAGGCTAATGATTCACAGGTGTCACTGGGTTTCTAGTTTGTTTAGACAATAGTTCAATTTTACAAACTGAGATAAATCTTCTATAAAAAAAAAGTTCAAAATCAGGGTTAATACTTCTAATTTTGTGACAAACTTTTGCAAACAACTATAAGATAATCATATATCTTTAAATTTGGATAAATTTTTTGCTTTTATTTCTGTTACTTCCTTTTCTTTCTCTTTCACCTTTCTTTGCATTGTCATCATCATTGACAGTGGTGGCTTTTAGTTTTTCTTTTGTTCAAATGCCAGAACCAGCCTATGAATATCACAACACTTCTTTTTGATTTCTTTTTCTTCTACATTCAGCTTCTAGTACTAGCCAACATCTTCTAGTACTAGCCAACATCTTCTAGTTCTAGCCAACATCTTCCTTGTGACTGCCAAAACCCTTCTACCCATCAGACAAACCAGATTTCTTAAATAGCCACAAATCAGGTCCAAACTGAATCAGAAATTCAATACTATGGGGTTAGGATTGTAAGTTACTTTCCCTATTGGTTAAAATAGGAACTACAAGGAAAACCTATACTTACATTAGAAAAAGAAACAGTTAAGATTTTTGTGACAAATCATGAGGAAAGAGGCTCTGGAGAGTCTAACACTCAGAAGATATGTTGAAAGGAAGTGAAGCAGGAGGAAACCTACTTAATAAGCTAGTCGAAATGGATGGCAGAACATGGACAAAATGGGATCATGAAGGGTCAAAGTTACTCAAAGCAACAAAAAACAGGAAGTGGTAGAAAGCTATGATCATCTACGTTCTGAATGGACATGGCACATAAAAGAAGGCAAACATTAGTCAAACTTAGTGAGTCACCTACAACAATATAGAAAACTAAAGATAAAACTTAAGAAGCTTCAGGTAACAGAAAAAAAGTATTTTTTTTTTGTTTTTCATAATTATGTATTAATTCTTTTATTTTTTAAAAATATGATTTATTATAACAAATCTTCTAAGTGTTAATAATTATAACAAGTATTATAGTAAAACACCAGTTGAAAAAAGATTCTTAATATAAAACATCATGAAGAGTGATTATTCTGTCATCAGTATTCACCAGTTTTTAACTATTTTCTTCTTCTTCCTCTTTTTATTTGAGGGTTGTGTTGTTAGTTGAGAGAGAGAGAGAGAGAGAGAAAGATAAGGGTTTTAATAGAAAGCAAATGCTTTATTTTGATTTGAATTTTTATTTTTTGTTTATCTATATTATGTTTATATTTTATTTTATTTTTACTGGGATTCACTACAAACTTACTATTTTCTTTTTGGTTGCTTGATGAACATTTATAAGTTGTGTATTGAGTGAATTTGTTATGACAAAGTTGCAAAATAGAAAATATATTTTTGAGTGACAGGCAAATCTGATATAAAGATGTGTTCATCTCTGGAATTGGTTGTAATTTATGAGTTAAAACAAGCTCCAAAAAAGGTGTTTAAAATGGTTAAAATTAGCACCAAAATACAAGTATTCTGAGAAGCCAAAAACTGAATACTTGTATTTTGGTGCTAACTTTAGTGTACCATTTTGAACCCATAAAAACAACTTCTTGAAGACATTTATCATAGGGGAAAATAATGATTACTTTAAGAACTAATAAAATTAGATGATCATACTAATTTTTTCACTTTTGTATATAATAGTTTTTCTGCATTTAACAGAAAGTATTTTATTTCTTGTAACTTTTTCTAAATGTTTCATTACTAATTTCAATATAACATATCAGTATCCTCATGAACATCTAATAAAGCTGACTATTGGAACTACCTCATGAGCAAAGGAGATTCTACTGATAAGATACCTGTTATTTTTTAAAATATTGCTTACCTGCTTTTTGCATGATTCCTCCAAGAAAGACTGGCTTCAAATGTAAATCAATAGCCCATTTATTCTTGTAACGGCAAAGCACCTGAAAAATCAATGTCATATAATAAAGTATCATTATTATTTGAAAAGAAAAAAATATCTATCTTTTAACATCTGTTTATATTTCTGAGATGAGGTATTGTGACAATTTACATTGTTTGGATAGTTGTTCTCATCTTTATTGTCATATTCATGATGTATTGGTTGTTGTACGCTCTGGTCTTCTTCAAGTGATATACACATACATTGATGTCCCTAAGTACACATGGCCCAGTGGATAAAAGCATTGGTTGAAGTAATCCAGTGACTTGACCCAAAGAGTTGTGAGTTCAAAAAGTGAACAAAAAGAAATAACAAATTGAGATATTCAGAAAAGACATGGCACGTGGAACTAGAACAATCTGTCCCAGTTCAAAATTCCCATGTATATCACCTGATAAAGGCCAGAGTGTACAATGGCCAAAACATTGTGAATATGACAATAAAGATGAGGACAACACTGAACAATATAAATAGTGTAAATCTATCTTTTAATCAAATTTATTTATTTATTATTTGAAAAGAAAAAAATATCTTTTAATCAAAATTATATTGTAATAATTTCAGTATTTTTTTTAAGTAATTTAAAATTTTTATAGCTTTTCACATTTTTTAGATCAAAATTAATATTTTTGGTTTTATTAATTGTTACTGTTTTTATGCTGTAATTTTCTTCTTTTCTCTTCAAATGTTTGAAAAGTGAATGTATCTAACTGAAAATCCTATACAAACACATTTTATTTGCTATTGAAATTAAAAAAACAAAAGAAACATTTTGATTAATCTTGCCCCTACTAGATGATGTATTTCTTTAAATAAAATAAACATAACAAATGAAAGTTTTTATTGTTAGTGATCACATATCATCAGCTATCTCTATCAGCTTATTAACACAGGGTTATTTGAAAGTTTTAAAGTGGAATCAATGAACAAAGTTCAAATTCATGCCTAGTCTTTTGCATTCATTTTGTAATGCTGCATGAATCCATTTCTTCTCCCACCAGCTTTGGGTTAAATAACAAAGTAGACTGAGCTCTGTAGCTTTAGCTGGCAGGTAGTCTAGACTTTGAATTCAAAACCATGGATTAGACAATGGAAAACCACTCTACTATATTTTCAAAAGTAGCAATTTACAAATATTAAAAAAAGAAAGCTATGGAGAGGTATGCTTGTCTACATCCTGAAAAAATTTAAAGTATCACACCAGAACATCAAAAGACTTAATAGTATCAGTAGGTTGACCAAGAAGGTAACCTCATACCCACCAAATACAGAACTAGACCTCAAAGATGTCAGTGGCTGTGATGATATATATTAAGTTTGTTTATATTCCATGTTATTCATAGTACAGCAGTCATTTTAGTGATTACTGAATTATAAAAATAAAATTATTTATTATTAAAATTTATAGGAATTTATTCATCGGTATTTTTTCAACTTTTTTCCCAATTGATAAAAAGTAACAAAAATAATGATAACTTTTTATCAATAAAAAAAAGGTCAAAAATCAATCTGTTTGTTTCAAGCATTTGGCTACATTCTCAACTTTAATTAATGCACAAACTTAAACTTTTATCAATTTTCAGGCAATGTGATATTTAAATAAGTCTACTCTAATTTAAACATGAAAATATCTTCTGTAAAGATGTTAATCAATTAATTAACAGAATGGAAGAAATATCTTTATGATCTTTCAAGAAAAAATTTAATCTAAATTGAAGATTTTAGGAAGGATAACTGTTTTTTTCTTTTATGTGCTGTGTCCTTTTAGAAGGTGGGGGTGATCATGGATAGCTGCAACTTCCTATCTTTTAAAGCTATAAACAATGTTTCTCCCCTTACTATCCTTCTCAGTCCATTGTTCTGCCATAGATTTACAGAAGTCCATTAAGATATATTAATACTAAGAACAATCTCCTATCTATTTTTGCTTGCTTGAAGTTTTTTTTTTTATTTCTGCACATTTTGTGCATCTCTTAATGCATTCCTCTACATCTTTTGAATATCTTGGCCACCAGGCTTGTAATTTTAGTCTTCTTTATGTTTCTGTTATGCCACAATGCACATCATCATGTACTCCTTTTAATATGTCCCTTCTCAGTATTTGTGGAGCTACTATTATATCCCCATTGCATATTACACCATTTTTTATGGTTAGTTTGTGCTTCATTTCTTTAAAGAGTCGCTCTGTCATTGAACAGTTGCTCCATATATTATTTTTTATTCTCTCTACTATTCTGTTTAATACTGAGCCTTGCTTTGTTTCTATTTTGAGTCTATTTAGAGGAAGAACGTCCGTTTCTATCCAGTGTATTATTTTATTTTCGGTATTTTCTGTTTTTCTTCTGTTTCATGCTTGAACAGTAATCTTGATAAAGTGTCTACGTGAGGGATAGTATTCCCTTTTACATATACTATGTCAAAATTGAATGCCATGATTCTTATTGCCCATCTTAAAATCCTTGATTAAAATCCGTGATTTTTGGCAATTCTCTTCTCAGGTCATTGTTAAATTCTTATTAAAATCGGACCACAAACCATTAGAATTCATATTGAATTCTAATGGTTTGTGGTCCGATTTTAATAAGAATTTTTTTCCTATCAAAAAGTTTTGTGCCCTTTTCATGCTACATACAATCGCTAGTGCTTCTTTTTCAATATTTGAGTAGTTAATTTCTGCTGACATAAACCTTCTTGATATGTACATGATTGGGTGTTCTTCTTGTGATAGAATAGCAGCAATCACCTTTTCATTTGCATATGTGGTTAATGTTACTTTTATTATTGGTTTTCTTTAGAGTTTCAAAAGCGGTAGTTTGCTTTTGTGTCCAGTTAAATTCATTGTTTTTTTTTGTGTAATTTTGCAAATGGCTCTATTATGCTGCTGTATCTTGGTATGTATTTACTATAAAAATTTATTAGCCCCCAAAAGGATTCTAATTCTTTTTTATTTGTTGGAGCAGCTATTTCTGTTATTTTCTTTGTTAGTCTATCATTGGGTGATATGCCTTCTTTTGATATTTGATATCCTAAATATGATATCTTCTTACAGTCAAAATTACACTTGTCTTTGTTTACAGACATGCCTGCCTTTTTTAATCTCACTAAAATTTGCTCTGTTTTATATTTTAATTCTTCTTTAGTTCTTGCCCCTATACATATATCATCCTGGTATATTATTATATTTTTTTATTTTTCCTAATAAGACTCTTTCAATTGCTTTTTGAAAAATATGGCTCAAAGTCCTTACCCCAAATGGTAGATGAGTCAAAAATAGCAAGCCTATAGAGGTGTTTATCATGGTGATTTCCTTAAACCTCGTCAATTTCTATTTGGTTGTATGCTGCCTTGAGATCAAGTTTTGCCAAGTACTACTCTATTCTTGCTAACTGGTGGCTCGCAGTTTCAATATTTGGCAGAGGAAAAGAATCTAAACATATCTGGTGATTTACGCCTATCTTATAATCACCACAGATCCTTAAATCTCCATCAGGTTTCTTTACCACTACTATTGGTGACGTCCAATTGTTACGACCTTGAGTATGCCCTGTTGTAGCATTTTGTTTAATTTGGCTACTACCAAAGGTAGGATATGAATTGGAACTTTTCTTGACTCTATATATTTTGGGTGATAATTTTCTTTTAGTCGAAATAGACTTTCAATAATCAAATTTCATTTCTTCTAATTTGCTCAGGTAACACATTGTCGAAATTTTCTTCAGTTTCACACCCAGCAGTAGCAAGAAATAAATCTGTTATCTTGTTCTATCCTCCATCAGTCTTTGTGTTTCTTAATTTTTTCATTCTTGCAAATTGCAGCAAAAGTTCTTATCCATGTTTCTATGTGTTCTGGGTCATGTTGATTGTTGGAAGTTGAGGTGCAGCTGTTCCAATTATGTTGACAGTTGGATGAGTCAAGTAGGAATGGGAAGCTGGCATTGCGATGTCATGCTGGCTTTGTGACATTGTTGGTCAGAACCAGTATTCAGTGCTAGTGTTGCATATCTGCTGGTCAAGTCCGATGTCGAAACCCTCCATAGTATTATAACCATAGTATACAGAAAAGGTTATTTAAGTCTGGATGACGAGCAGGCATCAGGTAGGGACAGAATACTGAGAGTAGAAATGTGCAAGAAGCCAGAAGTAAGATAGAAGTAAGAAGCCTAACTAGTGTCCTCTCTCTGACCTAGAATTTGGCGAGAAAAGAGACCAACAACAACCACAGTTCTTGCAAAATACTAAACATCTTGAGGAAAAATAAGTTGAGATTTGCTACGAAAAATGAAGGTCAAGAAGTGTAAGGGACTAAAAAGTCATTAGATCAATTCTAAAACTAAATGAAATTAAATTACACAATGTGCAGGGACCCGATGAAAAGGTCAAGGTCGAAGCCCCCTTTTTCTTTGATTCAAATCTACCACACAAGTTTCCTTTCTGTTCCCATTTTCCTTACAACTTTAAATTTTACATATTCAAATAAATTTTTTTTAATAGACTGAATACTTAGGCTTTAAATAAAATAATAATAATCGTCATGTTATAATTTCGTTGAAATGGACTTGTTAAAAAAATCTGTAGCCTGCATAAAAAGTAAAAACATTATTTAGAAAGATTTTCAAGACACGATATGGACTTATGGAGATTGTGAACATTTTACGTTTACACCGGCTATATTATATACACACGCACTTGAATGATTAAATCTTGATCAATTTTATCTTAAACATTTTTTCTTAGTCTTAACACAAGAATTGACTGTTGTTCCAGTAAAATATACTCTTGCACACAAAAAGGATTTTTTTTAAATAGCTTTTCATCGCCAACTAGCTCGATAAGTGTTAGTTAAAAAAAAGTAAAACCCGTGGCGTTGAGGCTCATGTTTTTTTTTACTACACAACTACAATTATTCAGCTTTTACATTTTATTTTAAAAATTAAACACACACACACCTGTGTATTGGTAAAAACATACATTTCAAATCAAAAGCTTACCTCAAATGCAAACCATGAATACGGCGATACAACATCATAGAACAATTCAATAAGCTTCTTAGAGGCGTTGCTGGTCATTTTAATGTGTAAGATTAAGAAGAAGAAGCGTAATTTTTATCAACCTAAAAAAGAATAACAATTTCGAACACGGGGATTTATTCTATTAATCGCGAATATAGGAATCGCGATTTCATGAAAAAGGAAATTAAACAGACAATTTCGAATTATTATTTTCCATGAAGTTTTTTACTTTATTCTAATTTTTAAAGTTTGTATTAGAAAAGATTTTTTACAGCCTGTTACTGATAGGGTTTACTAAGTTAATGTTTGTGAAGTATCTACACCTCAAGCAACCCTTATTTACAGCAGTGTTCTCCTTGAAATAAATTGATTGAAGTAATCTCTGGTAGTAGGGGTGGAGGATAGCATCATCACTGACTTATTAACTCTTTTGTTGCTATTGTAAACATGTCTGATGATATTCATTTCCGTAAAAACAGAAAATGTGGCACAAGGCCTAAAAAGGGGGATTGGGGAAGGACGGTCATCATCTGTCTTTTAGAAACTTAGCTAGCCACAACTGTTGCGGGCATTCCGTGCGCCCCCGTATCACAGAAAGGGGTGAACGAGGTCACAAGAGGCCCGCTGACATTTTTGAAGACGTTAAATCTGACGGTGAAACAATATAGACGACAGAACGAGGATATGTATGATAAATGCTAATTTATTCAGGGAAAGAAAAAGGAAATAAAGATGGTCGGAACGGTGGAGGTGCAGAAGTTTTAGTGCAGGCATTGATGGTCGAGGTTGGTGTTGGTAGTTGCTAGGATCATCGTTGTTGGGGGTTGAAGCTGATGTGGGTTGTTGCCAGGATGATCGCTTGGTGGTTGTTGAAGCTGAGTCGTTGCCGGGGTGCCAACTTGACGTGTTTGTCGTTGCCGGGGTGCCAACTTGTTGCTGTAGTTCGTGTTGCCAACTTGTTGTTTGTCATTGCCGGGATGCCAACTTGACGTGTTTGTCGTTACCGGGGTGCCAACTTGTTGCTGTAGTTCGTGTTGCCAACTTGTTGTTTGTCATTGCCGGGATGCCAGCTTGACGTGTTGGGAGAGAGAGAGAGAGAGAGAGAGAGAGAGAGAGAGAGAGAGAGAGTTCCCAACTATCGTCAAGTTGGCAGACAAAAAAAATGGGAGCGTAACTTAATACACAGCCCGTTGATCGGCGTCCTTGGCCGAGATTTATTTTGTAAAAAATACAAAATTGTGGCACAAGGCCGAAAAGGGGGAGGGGGTAAGGCTGGTCTTCACTAACTATCTTATACCTAGCTAATTTGATTCACGACCCATTCAGACATTACAATTTACTCATTCACCATAAGAACTCGTCTCTAGGGAGACCTACAAAACGCGCCCCATGTCATAATGATCCTAACACATATGTACAAAAATTCTAAGATGAAAAAATGAGATGGGGGTGGGATGTGAACCCAATAACAAACTAAATTATTAACATAAATGAAAATAAAACGTTAACTGATGTTAGTAGGGCCCTTCCAACCCTCAAAATGCAGGGAGACCACTGTATTCTGCCCATTGGAACAAAATCAAGCAGTTCTCTCGCTAAGGGAGTGGGAAAGGTGATAAAAAATCATACGGGCATGGGGAAGTATAAAGCTGACCCAGTCGAGATAGAAAGTGGGGGATCCAAAAAACAAACTGGGGAGGTTGGGAATCTCAGGCTGGATCATAACTAAAGATGTGGCCGGGAACAACACTTACTCGCATTAACTAGGTACACCAAGGCTTGTCTAACCTAACCAAGGGGAGGGCACCACAGGAAGCCACCCCAATGTAACGTAGGCTTGACCTAAAACAGAAAATCAAGGCTAGCCCCGTTCACACGAACCAAGCTCGCCTCAGTCACCCACCTTTCGCTGAAGACTGTCGAATGCAAGCGTTTTCTATCAGTTCTAATCTTCGTCTTGAGCTGATGCTCAAAGAATCGGATCAGATCCTGATGAGAAAGACGGTTACCCCGCAAGACTTCCTCCTCTCGCGTCGTCCATATCACCATTCGGGCCGTGGCTAGCAGCATGAGAAACACCATCCGTTTCACCCCGGAATACGGGGGCGACACATTGTCACACGCGTATGCGCGATCCATGGGCACAATGAAGGCCAAGACCGCCTCCTAGAATCTAGCGAGAAATCACTTTCTTGTGACAAGGGAGACCAGCAAGAGAAATTGGCTAAGCTAACCGAAAAGTCTCTATAATAAAATACTACGAGGTTAGCTAAAGAGAACTAAGGTCTAAAAATGACTAGTAGTATATTACAACTAGGTTTGTAATATAACCTAACTAAAAAGGGGATTTGCTAGTCCCTCCGACGTGTTAACAGTGTGTAAGGAGCATGAATGAGAGGTCAAGGTCGAAATGACCTGTTCCTCTGCCGGTTCAAGGATAGAAGGAGGAGGTAACTCCGACACAATCAAACAAAACAATATTCCTATCACCAAAACAACACATTCATACTTACCTTTCTTACTACATCCACCAAAACCAAAATACCTCATTGTCTCAATGAAAATCCTAAATAGTCCCCCATATGTACAAATATTGTCTGTGGGAGGAGGGGAATAAAACAACAAGTTAAAAAAATCCCCAATGATTATGTACAATATGACTTGAATTACACGTAACTAAACAAAATCATGTTAGTAATAAAAAAAACCCACAAGCCTTAAATGTGGCAGAAATATCAGTTAACTGGATAAAATCGATGCGGGGCTATAAAAATATAGAAAACATTCATCCATCCCAAGCACTCACACAGACACGAACTCATTCTGACATAACAACAAATACGAAAAATACACACGCGAATCGAAAGTCGCTCCGCGTCCACCAGAGAACTGACATCACTGACCACCTAACGAGGGAGGGGATGGGGAATTAAACTTAGGGGTAGAAATAAAAGGGGCCGATGACCATACATACCCGAGCTAAGTTTATAGAAAAAGGAAACTAAAAATTCAAAAAACCAAACCTAAGCTAACCTAATTTCGGGATGGGTTGCCTATGTTCAACCCAGGTAAAGCAATATGCTGATGCCTAACCGGCATCAAAATGCCACTCCAAGTCAGCCCCTTTCACACGACACAAACGCGCAAGATTTATCCACCTTTTGCCGATTTCTGATGAAGTGAGTCGCTGCCTTTCCGTCCTAATCTTAACCTTAAGCTGATGCTTAAAGTATAAGATCAGTTGGGAAGAAGTGAACTTCTCGCCTTCATAGAATCCCTTCTGACGTGTCGTCCAAATCACGACTCTCATAACACCTAGCAAGCATAAGAACACATAATATTCAGCCCTCGTCAGCGGCGGAGCCACATTGCTACAAACAGAAGCGGCCTCAAGGACAAAGAACTTTCCAGACAGCATGCGAATCATGAGGTGTCGGAGTTAACTCCTCCTTCAGCCCGTTAGCCCTTTCACCAGGGATCTCTCTTCCCTGGCTATAAATAGCCGCTGACCCTTCGCCTCTATCTCTTTTTTTCCGTCAGGCCTGCGCGCCGACACCTTGAGGTAAATCTCTTTTTCCTTCAGCTATCAACCTCGAAATGTAGGCGCTAACAAAGGAATAACGTGGAAACACGCTAAGCACAATACACACACACGCACGCACATACAGAATATTCACACACACTTCGTCCTTTGTACTGTTTCCATGTATTGTAACTTGTTATTAATATATATTTGTATATACATATATTATCGGTCTTGTGTTTTGTTTGCTTTCTTTGCCTTCTTCTTTGGACTTAATCAAAGTCCAACTTTTTATGTAGTTGGGCCCGGCGAGCAAGAGTATCTGAACCTTACATGCGTTTCTTCTACGTCTGACTTCTATCAACAACATAACAGCCACGGCCCCTCTACAAGGCCTTCAACATACCTGCACAACGGCGCTACCACTCTGCAATGGAAGAAGGCATGAACAATGGTCTCGACTTACCCACTACAGCGACGGCAGTTTGGATATTTCTCCAAGCCCGCTGTGCAAAGTCTCTTGGCGACCCAGAGGGCCCCACGCATCACCAGCCAGGTGATTGATGCCTCATTGTTATTGAGACATTTCAACCCGGGCCCCCAAGCCATAATTGAGTGAGCCTCCTGCTTCGTAAGACCGAGCTCGTCAACTTGCGAAGGAAAGGTTCCAACGCAAGAACGTAAAGCAAAGGCGAAAGCGGACAACCTTGACGAATGGAGCGAGACAATACGAAAGGCTCCGATCGTACTCCATTCACCTCCACCAGCGCATCGGGGGTCGCATACAGAAGACGGATCCAGATGCGAAAGTCCGGCCCGAAACCGGTCGCCGAAAGGACAGCCTCCAGAAAGCGATGGTCAACCCTGTCGAAGGCCTTGGACTGATCTAAATATTGATCAGCACGGCTTCACTGTTGACTTGCTCGATGACCAAGCGTAACATATGATCAAACATGTCTGATGTCCATCACTGATAGTCAAATCTCCTTAAATCCCAATAGTACTAGTCAGGAGTGGTTTTTTTTTTTTTTTTTAACTATAAAAATTAAGAATAGGTTTCCTTAGTCTGTGTTAACAAAATTTTGTTAAAAAAGAAAACCCTAGCAAATGCGCCAAAATTTCATAAAGGGTGGACATCTGTAACAGCCACCGGTAGTTGCGTCGAAGCGCCAATATGTGACGTCCTCTTGTCGCGACGCCAATATGTGACACCGCGCTGTGGGCCCGTGGTCAACTCCCAGTTGCGGCGCGAAGCTGTAAGGTTTCTTTTCTTTGTCGCTGCCACCAGCCTGTGTCCCGGTCGATCTGGTCGTTTCCGGTTCAATACCAGCTTTGTCGTTCCCAGCTCACTTCCAATGTCTGGTTACCGAAGTAACTACTTTGATCTCAAGTCTAACCTACCCACGTTGTGACTTTGATCTTAGGTAGACGAAATCAATCAGGCGTCGGGCCGTAGTGAAAGCTGAATCAGGGGTAAAGGTGATATCGTACAAGCGTAAGTAAAAGAAGCAATAAAACAAACTCAAGAGGTTCA